TCAAAGTTTCAGGCAATTCCCATGCAAAAAATGGTAGCCACATCCATCATCAAGTTACGCAGTCAGATATACAGCAATTGGATAAATATTTAGTCTTTTAACCATCAGTTCCATCTTTTCATCACAAATTTTACAAAATAGTCCTGTTTATGAAAAAAGCCAAATTTTTGGAGTAAAAACTGAAAATTGACTAAAATTGTGTCTGTTGGCTTCAAAATTATGGTTCATTTCCAGGAATATTGAAAAATATAAGGGAAAATGGCAAAAATATTTGGGCGAGAATGTCTGATTGTGAAAAGGCTAATAAAAAGGGTACTCAGCCTCTGAATTTACCTCATCTATGTGAATGCTTCAAAGTTACGATGAGGGAAATGTATCGGTATTAACAATTGAAATATTTGCTATTTCTAGGATGTTGAAGTTACTGGTGACAAAGAAGACAGTAGATCTTTACATGTAACTATACACAAGAGGGCTAACAGTGCACATGTTAAACCCATGCCACTGTTGAGTGCAAGGTTTATATTTGATGATCACATTAGATGTATGGCTGCCAAGCAAAGATTAACTAAAGGTGAGTTAAATACTGTGTATTTCATAAAGGCATGAATTTGTTTTATGGACATTTATAAAATATTTATAAAACATTCACCCTGGAAGAATCTCATGCTTCATTTAAATTTCAAGAAGATGTCTTCATTGGCCATTGAAGCAATTTGCCAATGCCCATTACCCATGAGCCTTTGCAAGTTTCAATCAGTCATTGGTTGATTTATGGCTATGCATTCTAAACGTGTGGTGATTGGTATTGTGGTTTTCAACCATCATTTGAATTTTATAAAACAAATTCTTTTCTTCATGGAATGCATAGTACAATGTCCAATATTTAATAGCTGCATTAGTGGCATCATTTTTGTTGATTCTGCAATATTAACACAGTTCACACTGAATGGCATCTTATGTTTACAACAGTTCTATTTTTAGTAAATGTTTTGTAACCATGGACCCGTTCAATAAAACATGTTATTCCCTTTTTGTCTGTACTTTTTCGCTAATCTTTAATTTCGCTATTAAAATTCAAGATGTCACTAATTTTAAATAAAATATATACTCACAATGAAACTGTTGGTACTTTAGCTAAATTAAAAATCTGTTAATTCTTGCATCGAGTCAAATTAGCTAAAATGTAGCCTAAAACCTCAGTGGGCAATTTCATTTCACTCCCTATTAACCTTGTTCTATTTCTTTCAAAGGTCGCACAAAGGCTAGACAGCGTAAAATGGAAGCGATAGCTATATTGCTTGATTTGCCTCATTCGACCGGACCGCCTTTAATACACGGCCCTACCTCACATCCTGGTATGGCTGTACCAGCATCTGCTGTACAAACACCATTCAGAACATATTCAGATCAGTCTTATGCCAGAAGGTAGGTCAATGTTCGTCTATGAAGTGGTTCACAATGAAGAATGGGCCTTGTTCGTTTCTCACCACTATAGTTTGTTGATTCATGAGATCACCATATTTGCTCTTGTATAAATGTACATAAACGCCAATTTACATTATTTGGTATGGTGGATCATTTAAAAATGACTTATTTTGACAATAAAACATGCCCCTTTAATTTACAAATGAGCTACTAATAGGGCAAGTACATTACATGTTTATTATCAATCAGAAAAAGAAAGAAACTTTTTTTTATTTATTTCATATCATCCACAAAATTCAGTTATTGTTGTCGTCTGATAACGTGTAACGTGGCTTTTGTTGCTGCATGTCACAAAATGCTTATTCATGTATTTATTTATTTATTTATTTATTTAATTTAATTTAATTTAGAACACCGTCATCAGATCCAGCGATACAGAGATCAGTGTTTGCCTCTGTTGATAAAGTATCAGGTTTTACAACATCTCAAAGAAGATCTATTGAATTTGTTCATCAAGTACCGGCATATCAAGGCGAGTCAATTTCATTTTCATCCCAAACTTACTCACATGCATAGCTCAGCAGCTAAAGATTTACCAAAGATTTTTTTTTATACAGAGTTTTCTTTTTGGCTTGCCCATAAGTGAAGGGAAAGTAATAGTAGTGGCATAGTGTCAACAGGTGGCGCCGATGCCATGAATTCTCTTGTGGACATGATAACCGACTGGCGGCCATTTTGTTTTAATGAATGTGGTTCTAGAGCCATATCTCTAACATGCTTTGACTGATTATGTTCAAAATTCACATATTCATTATACATCATGGTATAGATATATTCATGTATTCAAAATGGCTGATTTTGTTTTGATTAATGCTTTTCCAGAGCAATGTTTCTCAATATTAACAAGTACTTGTTTGACGATCAGATACAAATGTCAATCATTTTAATGTTAAACAATCATCGTAATCATATTCCTGACATGTTTATATTCCAGTTATATTACTATAAACAAAACTATATATCTTAAATTTGATAACTAACTGGGACTGTGCCATGCATGGCTTGTTTAACTTGATATTTATATTCGCTGAAGTTGTAAATGAGCAGTATGAACTCTATCATTATTTTATTTACATGCATTTTGTGATGTATATCAGTTTATCAAATGGTTGTTTTAAGTGAAAATTATACTGAATGGAATAGTATGTTTTATTTCAAAAGTGGAAATCTTTCCATTAGATCATTCATACCACA